TGTGGCAGTTACCTATTCTTCGGAGCGGTTGGCAGAGATTTACATCCGCGAGATCATCCATCTTCACGGTGTGCCCGTGTCTATCATTTCTGATCGAGGTACGCAGTTCACCTCGCACTTACGGAGGGCAGTACAATGTGAGTCGGGCACGCGCTTTGAGTTGAGCACATCGTTTCATCCTCAGACGGACGGACAGTCCGAGTGCACTATTCAGATCTTGGAGGATATGCTTCGCGCATATCTTATAGACTTTGGAGGATTGTGGGATCAGTTCTTGCCCCTGGAAGAGTTCGCCTATAACAACAGATACCAGATGAGCATTCAGATGGCTCCCTATGAGGCATTATACGGTAGGCGGTGCCGGTCGCTAGTTGGGTAGTTTGATCCGGAGGAGGCTCGGTTATTGGGTACGGATATGGTACATGATGCCTTGGATAAGGTCAGGATTATTCAGGATCGACTTCGCACAGCTCAGTCCAGGCAGAAGAGTTATAGAGTTCGTGATGTTGCATTCATGGTCGGGGAGAGAGTGTTGCTCCGGGTATCACCCATGAAGGGTGTCATGAGGTTTGGAAAGAAGGGCAAGTTGAGCCCTAGGTATATCAGGCCCTTTGAGATTCTGGAGAGAGTGGGAAAAGTGTCTTACAGGCTTGCGTTGCCACCGGGCTTATCATCAGTTCATCCGGTATTCCATGTGTCCATGCTCTAGAAGTATCACGGCGATTCGTCCCATGTGTTAGACTTCAGTTCTGTCCAGTTGGTCCACGATTTGACTTACGAGGAGGAGCCGATGGCTATTCTAGCCCGGCAGGTTCGACAGTGAGGTCAAAAAGTAATCCTTCAGTTCGAGTGCAGTGGAGAGGTCAGCCTGTCGAGGCAGCTACTTGGGAGTCCGAGTCGGATATGCGGAGTAGATATCCACACCTTTTCACCAGCCCAGGTACCTTTCTATGTCCGTTCGAGGACGAACAGTTATTTTAGAGGTGGAGAATGTGATGACCCGATAGGTCATCTCATGTTTTAAAACCCAATTCTGTGTTTCGAAGCCTTATATATCTCATTTTAGCCTTTCTTGATTTGCGTGCGTAGTTCGGGCATGTTTTTTGAAAAGCTTTTATGTTAAAAACTAATAAAAATAAGAATTTTACCTTAAAAATTTATTTAAGTTGACTTCGGTCAACGTTTTGGGCAAACACACCCGGATTCGTGTTTTGATGGTCTCGGTTGGTCCGTATATTAATTTGGGACCTGGGCGTATGCCTAGAATCGAATTCCGAGGTCACTAGCTCGAGATATGAAATTTTGATGAAAAATTAAAAGTTTGAAAGTTTAATGATTTTAAGGATTGACTGATGTTTGGTCTTGTTGATACCGAGTCTGTATTTTAATTTCAGAGTTCGATACAGGTCCATTATTATATTTATGACTTGTCTGCGATATTTGGTGAAAAACGGAGTTGGTTTGACGTGATTCGGACGTCCAGTTGTGAAAATAGAAGTTTCAAAGTATTCTTGAAAATTTTATTTCATTTGGTATTCGATTCGTAGTTCTAGGTATTATTTTGGCGATTTGATCACGTGAGCGATTTCGTATGATATTTTTAGACTTGTGTGAATAGTTGGTTTGGAGCCCCGAGGGCTCGGTGAGTTTCGGATAGGCTACAGAGTGAATTGAACTTAGAAATCATAGATGGTGTGCATCAGGCCTGCAGATTTTGCATTTGCGAGATCTGGCTCGCAAATGCGAGCCTCACATTTGCAAAGAAACCATCGCATTTGCGAGCAATGGGATGGGGGTGGACCTTCACATTTGCGAAGTTTTGGTCGCATTTGCGACCCTCTCCTGTTCGCATTTGCGAACACTTATTCGCATTTGCAATGATTGCAGGCCTAGGGAACCTTTCGCATTTGCGAAGCCCAGGTTGCAAATGCGATATCTGCAGCTAAACAAATATGACTTAGACATGATTTTTGGTTCATTTCTCAAATTTTCAAAATCTAAAATATTAGAGGCGATTTTTCCAAGACTCTTTCTTCCCCAAATCATTGGTAAGTGATTCTAATCCATTTTCTTTCAATCTTTCATTACATTTCACAAGTTTTTAACCTAAAATCTAGTGCTTTCATGGTGAAAATTTGGGGGTTTGGGTAGAGTTAGGAATTTTTGAGAAATTGGGATTTTAGACCTCAAATTGGGGTCGGATTCCAAAACAAATTACGTAACCGGGCTCGGGGTGAATGGGTAATCGGGTTTTGGTTTTAATTTCGGGTTTGGACCAAGCGGGCCCGGAAGTTGACTTTTGTTGAATTTTTTAATAATGACCTAAATTGAATCTTTTGCAATCGTGGGTGATTCCTAAGGCTTAATTTGAATCGTTGGTTGGTAATTTGCTAGATTCTATTGGCCCGGAGGCCTGTTTGAGAGGCAAGGCTGTGTTTGAGCAGTGAGTGGTCTTTGGAGCGAGGTACGTGTTGTGTCTAATTTTGACTTGAAGGAATTAGGAACCCTCGGACTATTTGCTACATGAAATTCATGTGAGCGGCATATATGTTAGGTGACGAGTACTTATGCGCCGCCAATTTATCTTTTTTCCCTATTTTCCCTATTTTTCCATATTATCTCTTTCCATGTCTTAATTTTTACATGGTTTAATTATGTTCCCGTGCCTAATTGCTACTTGTTAGACATTGTTTCTTCTTGTTCATGATATTGTTCATTCCATAGTTTCATTATCTCCTATTATTTGCTTACGCTGGTTTATCGGTACCTTTTGTTGTATACTATGAATTGGTCTCGTTGTGTAGTATTACTTATGTGAACTTTCATGACGTATAAGTTTCATATTTGTTTATGTTTGGTGTTTAAGTATTGTGGAGGGTTTCCGTGATTTGAATTGTGAATTTACTGTGTATACTGAGCACTTGATGTTGATATGGTGGGATCGGATTGCACGCCGCAACAGGTGTAATAAGGGTGGATTGTTTGGTGGCATAAGGGTGAACAATGATTATGTTATTGTGATACGGTGGGATCGGGTTGCACGCCGCAACAGGTGTAATAAAGGTGGATTGTTTGGTGGCATAAGGGCGAACTATGATTGTGTTATTGTGATACGGTGGGATCGGGTTGCACGCCGCAACATGTGTAATAAGGGAGAATTGTTTGGTGGCATAAGGGTGAACTATGATTGTGTTATTGTGATATGGTGGGATCGGGTTGCACGCCGCAACAGGTGTAATAAAGGTGGATTGTTTGGTGGCATAAGGGCGAACTATGATTGTGTTATTGTGATACGGTGGGATCGGGTTGCACGCCGCAATACTTTTATTTATATTCACTGTTGTTTATGCTATTATGAGGAAATAAGAGAGGAGTATGAGATGTACGGTGGCATCGGGTTGCGTGCCGCAACAACCTATATGTTTCCATTTCGTGAGCTGTGTTAGTTTTTCTCTTTGGTATTTGTATCTGAATTATTAAAGATTGGTGATTTTGGACGACATTGGTAATTCTTGAGGCTGTGGTTATTATTTTCAGTTGGCTGTTTAATTCTGTTCAGTATTCCCATTTTTTTTGTCATTATTATATACTGCGTTCAGGTTGTAGTATAGGTGACCCGCCTTAGCCTCGTCACTACTTCGTCGAGGTTAGGCTCGGCACTTACCAGTACATGGGTTCGGTTGTACTGATACTATACTCTGCACACTATACAGATTTTGGAGACGGTCCCAGCGGCGGCTACTAGAGAGCTTGGATTGGACAGCCTGCAAAGACTTGAGGTATAGCTGCTCAGCGCCCGCAGCTTCTGAAGTCCCCGTCTTTATTTTATTTAGCTGTGTATCTTCATTCAGACAACTTTGTATTTATTTCAGACCGTTGCATGTATTACTCTAGAAGCTCGTGCACTTGTGACACCGGGTTCATGGATTTGTAGCAGATGTTTTTACGGTTTTAGCTTCCGCATTTATATTTGGATTATTGCAGTTACATCAGTTCTTCTTCATTAATTAAATTTAAATTTTTAAAAAGGATAAATTATTCTAACATTGGCTTGCCTAGCAAGTGAAATGTTAGGCGCCATCACGGTTCCGACAGTGAGAATTTTGGGTCGTGACAAAGAATTAGCTCCTTTTTTACTTCGTGATTTAGATCATTAAGCATGCCATTATTATAAAGGATAATTGCCTAACTCACAAAGTTAAAACCCTAATTCAAAATTATTCAAAGTCCAAGTCAAAAAATAAATTGGTATGGATGAGATAATATTTATATAATTTTTTAAGATTTATTAACTTTAATAGAATAGTATAAATCTTTGTAGACATCCAATACGAATCCTTAATATTACAGAGTACTAATAATTTTATGTTTGGTATTTTACTTAAATATATCAAGGATTTGAAATTTTACACTTTAATAAAGTGATTAAAACAATTAAATTTTAGAATTTATTACAATGACATGTTGGTTAATCTGTTATCTGTTAAAAATAAATTTGATATAGAAAAAAATTGTAATTTAATTATTTTTTTAATATTTAAGACTTTAAAATTAACTAAAAATTTTTAAGTGAAATGTCAGATCAATTTTTTGTTATTCTTTGAACATAGAATTTTTATTTGATAGAAATATTGTTATAGTATAACGTTGAAAAGTTGGAATGAGCTAAATATTAAGAATTTTAATCAAGAAAATTTATTTCCTCTAATTTTGAGAAAAAGTAAATAATTTTTTAAACCGATTTAACGAAATAATTCCTCGAGTCAACTAATTTGTTAAAGAATCAAATTCAATTCTTTTATAAATTCATCATATAAGCAATTGTAAAACTTTAGTGTACGCTAAATTTATTTTCATAAAATGAGTATTGAATATGAAAGAAATAAAAAAAAAAATAGAGCAACATTAATTACAATATAGTATTGAGAGTTGGTTACATGCGCATGTAACCTAAGACTAATATATATATATATATATATATATACCCATTTAACGTTACTTCCTGTATTCCTAAGACTTTCCTTCCATAATAATCTTGTCATATCCATTTATCCTACTCTTCCCTGACTTCTTCTTCTTCTTGTTCATCTTTGCTTTGTAGAATATAAAGTCAGTATGGTGCTTAGTGTCTCAAAACTAGGTAATTTTCCTCTAGTATTAGTGTTACTACTAATTGTATTTCCAATTTCAACTGCTGCTAAGAGGAAGTGTGATTTTCCGGCGATTTTCAACTTTGGTGACTCAAATTCCGACACCGGTGGATTATCGGCGGCATTTGGTCAGGCTGGTCCGCCCGCCGGAGAGACATATTTTGGTTCCCCTGCCGGGCGCTACTCTGATGGTCGTCTTGTTATTGATTTTATCGGTAATAATATATATATATATATTGATTTGTCACTTAATTTCTCATTATTTTTTGCCTTACAAAAAAGTTCATCTTATTAGTACTATTTTACTACGAAGTTCATCTCAATATTTTTGCAATATTGCGATTGATCATCTATACAAATAGTTTGTCCCTTATCTTCTCCTTATTGTATTCTGAATAACCTTATCAGTTAAGGACTGGTGGAATATATGGGGACTGTGACTATTTTGGTTCTATTAGCAAGGCGCGTTTATTTTTGAAACAGAATCCACCGACGCTAATTTGCTTCTTATGTCTTTTTCTGCAATTGTGTCTAACTATTTCTGAGTTATTCTTTTTCTTGAAAATAACTAATTAAGCTGTTCTTCAAAACAGTAATTTTTCACTTATATATATATATATATATATATATATATATATATATATATATATATATATATATTTGAAAACAAATCTGTTTCTTTTTTAACAACAAAACACGTTTCTTCTCATGAAGGATAACAGTTGTTTTGTTTTTTCGATTTTATCAGATGTCCCCGAAGGGACAATTGTTTTGCTCTTTAATACAATATTATTGTCGTTCACGTATATCTTGCCGCAATTCACTGCACACCACCAACCAATTTGGTTAAATTATCATAAATATTTGAAACGACACTTAAAGTATGTTTATGTAAAGCCACATCGATACTTTCGTTACACTATTTTAATCGGTATAGATGATGTTTGCACGGTAAATAAAATTTATGCAATGTTTACACCAAATTTTACTAGTTTAACATGGTTAAGTAATAAGTTGAGATAAAAATATTTATTAATTATGATTTAATAATAATTATGTACATGAAGACATATATCATGTATAGTATAATCTGGTGTGAACAATACGAAGTGCAAGTAAGTTTTAACCCTGTTTAAACTGTAATTTTATCAAAGAGTTTCATCAGGTTAGTATTGAAGAAATTCTTGCCTAAACTTTGTCTTTTTTCTGTTTTTGGGTTCCCTTCTCGTTAACTCAAAGATAACACGATATAAAGCTAACTTATATACATTGATCTGTTCTAGGAAGTTTTTACTCTATTTTTAGGTTACTAATTTCGTTCATCGTACACGGTTACCTCTAATTAGTTCTTCGATGACCTAATGGTGTAATTGTTTTTTTCTACTAGTTTATCAGTGTATAGAAGTTAAACTAATACTATGATTTACGTTTGAGGTGGATTTTTTCAGCTGAAAGCTTAGGATTACCACATCTAAGTGCATTCTTAGATGCACTGGGTTCAAACTTCAGTTATGGAGCCAACTTTGCCACAGCTGGTTCGACAATCAGACCCCAAAACACAACTCTACATCAAAGTGGTTTCAGCCCCATTTCATTAAACGTTCAGTTTTACGAATTCAACGATTTCCATCGCAGGTCTCAGATTATCCGTAGCAAAGGTAATGGCATATTACTTTCGGGATGTTCATACTTTTTTTGTGGTGTTCCAATAATTACCATATAGTTTCTGGCCTAATTTTCTGGAGTTCATCATCTTCTTATTATTTCTGGAAAAATTTCAATGCACAGGGAATGTCTTTAGTCAGTTGATGCCTAAGGAGAAACATTTTTCCCACGGTTTATACACATTTGACATTGGACAAAATGATTTAACTGCTGGTTACTTCCTTAACATGACCACTGATCAAGTTAGAGCTTATGTGCCTGATTTAATGGATCAATTCACGACTGTAATCAAGGTAAATATTTAATCCAATCTTGATATAGAGCAAGATTTTGGCACACTACTAAGAGATGTTTCAGTATCCATTTATTGCATCAAAGTCGTAAAACAACTTTCTTTTAACTGAAAAATAACTCAACTCTACCTATATTACCTATAGAACACATAAAATATAGAAAATCTTAAATATCGTCCAAAAATACAAGTAGGTTGGTACTTCAATAACTCACCTTACTTAATTTTCTTCACATTGCACATACTCACCTTACTTTAAATTTTTTATTTTAAAAAAAACCCACTAAAAGTTTTAAAAACCCACGATGTATAATATGGGTGTAAGACATTGTGTACTAGATTGGATCAGAAAATGTGTTTTTATTTTCTTTTAAGTGGTGCCACGTGAATATTTTGAAGGTAAATTGGTAATGTATCCATAGTTACATGGCAAATTCATACATGTGGCAACCTACTTGTTTTTTATGAGATTGAATTTAACATTTTTCACGTTCTTATATAGCCATAATTAAATGATCTTTTCGTTACAAAAATTGGTTTTATAACTAAGTTGTAGAATAAAATGATAGTTGAATGACTATACATGAAAATTTGGAGGTTGTTATATATGCTATATATGGTGAAAATGGCAGGACATATATGATCAAGGTGGTAGATATTTTTGGATTCATAATACTGGGTCTGTTGGTTGTCTACCTTATATCTTGGATCGCCTGCAAATTACGGCAGCACAAATTGATAAGGCAGGATGTGCCTCTCCCTTTAATAAGGTGGCTCAATATTTCAATACTAAGTTGAAGGAAGCTGTGTTCCAGCTCCGAAAGGATCTTCCATTGGCTGCTCTTACCTATGTTGATGTATATTCTGCCAAGTATGAACTCATTAGTCACGCTAACAAGCATGGTACGTAAACAATTGTCTTTCTCATTTAATCTGAAACTGTTACTGGGTACATGCATGCATTGCACGTATTATAAGATAGTATAAAATAAAAATTTAATGTCGTCAACAAATGGACACAAAATAAGACATGAAATGTTCCCTTCTTTATTTTATCTTACGTCTTAAAGTATTGTTGTTGAAATTTAGGGTTTGAGCATCCACTACAAGCTTGCTGTGGGCATGGAGGAAAGTACAATTATAACATGAAACATGGATGTGGAAGCAAGATCAAGGTTAAAGGCAAAGAAATAATGTTGGGAAAATCATGCAAAGATCCATCAGTAAGAATCAATTGGGATGGTGTGCATTACACAGAGGCTGCTAATAGATGGGTGTTTGAAAAAATTGTCAATGGTTCATATTCAGATCCTCCACTTCCATTGAACATGGCATGTCATAAGCAATAAGCTTATTCATCAAAGATAGCAGAAAATTGATATCTATTTCGTTATAGTTCTCAACCTCCACCGCATTAATTTTTATTTATGTAGTCATCAGAAATTCACTTTGTTTTTAATTTGATTCCCAAATTTACCAGCAGTCGAAATTCTTTCATTTTTGGGGCACGTCAACTTTGCAATTCTTTCATGACACTAAGTAGGAGCACGTTACGTTATTTTGTTAAATGGGTGAAAACCAACTTGAGTACTTAAGTCTTAAGGAACTAATCATGATCTAAACTAAAAATCCAAAGTTTCTATGTTTATGTTTTTTAGTCTTTCGCTATAATGAAACTCTATGATGGATTGATTAAGATTAATTGCCTTTCCAATTCACCTGATCATTTCGGATGAATTGATTTAGCTTACAACTGACGGGTTGGGGTCCCCTCCAGTGATGTTTGGTCCAGTATTCTTCAATAGGGTATTGATTTGTGACACGCGTCCTATATACTAATCAATGGACAAGATCTCTTCAACTAAAAAGCTAGTTTAACCATGGTTCGGTTTCTCTTCTCTCCTGTTGATCTACGTCCATGTGGTCAAGACTATCAAACATATTTTCTTTCTTTTGCTTCATGCCAATGAATCATTGTTCTTTTATGGATTTGTTCAAGTCCATTTTAACATCAGTAAAGAGGAGGTGAAATTACCGAGAGATGTTTTTGTTTACCCAAAAAACGGATAAAGTTAAATTTGTACGTAGTTCTAAGGATATGTGGTATAGCTTAATACAAACCGTAAGGATAAATAGAAATATCAAATATGGATTGCAAAGAGTACAAAGTAAACAAGGTTGTAAAAAAGATGATTTTTAGGACTGAACGGGTTGAATCAATTTATGAAGCTTAAAAGAACAATTCTTCACTATAGGAGAATATGGTGCTTGAGTTACAATGTAAGCAAGAACTTGGTGCTTACAGAAATAATAACCATCCTCTTTATAGTAGAGAGATCTTACTTTAGATATAATTAAAAATACATAGTGGGAGACCCATGATAAATCAGCTTTTTCATAATTCCTGCTAGGATTCTCTCCTCTAGTGGGATTGCAACGGCTCTTGTCTATGAGCTCGATATTGACTCAAGTTTTTCGGTCTCGACTCGAGCTCTCGATCTTGACTTGAGCTCGATTCTGACTCGGATCCTTGCATTGATTCGGAATCAGTGTCAGTCGGTCTCTGAATCATAAGCTCGATAACTTTACTTTGCATCATAGTTTGAGTTGAATTCGAGCTTGATAATGATATCGAGCTCGACATTGATCGGTCCCTCAGGCTCGAAGCTTGTTTGTACCATCTTCGGAACCCATCTCGAAGTATTACTCCGATCTATTACGTTTTGACCTCGATCGATCGTACGAAAGCCGAAATCTATTTCGACCGTATACAGATAGTCCCCTCGTTTCTCGGGAAGGATGTGGTGAGAAACAATATGAATTTTCAATGACTCGATCAGATTATAAGCCGACGTTTACATTGGGCTCGACCATGACGCACGTGATAGCTGTCCCATCGATTTAGTCTTTCAAGGCATTTAATGCATGTCAGATAGTGGCCGGCCACCGCTGATACTGAACCGCCAGTGCTTTAATCTATAAATAGCCCTTCCTTTTATCATTTACCACTTTTACATCTTCAATCTTCCAAATTTCCCAAGTTCTTTTTCGTACTCTCTGAGCTTATTCGCAAATCTGTGATTCTTCTTTGCGAGATTCTTCTTCTAAACTACCTAATCTTTGTTACTTTCTTTGAATCCAAAATGGTGAAGACATAAAAAATCGTCCCCCCAAAAGAAAAAGCTTCTTCTTCCCAATCCTCCGCCGATAAAACATCGGTGGATCCACGGCTTGTGGAGTGCGTTCCGGCGACATATGTTCTTACCTCCGATTTCAAACTTGATAAAGGTTCGCCGGTTCCTGGCCGATGTGAGCCCGTATCGAGATATATTTGTTCGATAACCCGAGAGCATATCGAGCGGATAAAAAAAGATTGTAACTAGGAGAACAAAGAAGTGGTAGTGCCGTCTCCCGAAGAGGATATTACTACTCATGTGAGAGGGTTTTTAAGCGTGTATACTTACCCTTTCACGTTAGGTCCCCTCGACCCCGTTATCATAGATTTTTGTCATAAATACCTAATAACCCTAGGCCAGATACATCCTTCTTTTTGGCGGATCATTATTTTGATCCGATATTTTGTGAGTAAAATCGAGGGGATGCCTTTCACCCTCGATCATCTTGTCCGATTATACCGTCCTCGCCTTTTTCGAGGAGGGTTAATAAAACTCCAACGTCAAGCTACCAAGGCTCTGCTCTCGAGTATAGACGAGGATAAGGATCGAGGTTGGATGGGCAGATTCATTCGAGTATGGACTTCGGACCTGATTCCGACCGAAAATATGTCTTTTCCCGAGGAGTGGAACATGAAGCATAAGTGTAATTTTGTTGTTATCTCCTACTATTTTATCCTTTCATTTCTTTCACCAATATTCCCCTTTTGTGATGCAGTGGTTCACTGGATGCCCGGCGCAGTGCCCGATCTCAAGAACTGTGTACGTGATCTGGTTTCGACCTCCTCCTACGCCGAGCACTCATGGCGCGACTTGTCGAAGGGCCGATGGGAGGCTAAAAATCACGGTAAGCACCTTTCTCGTATCTTTTGATAATTTGAATAAGATGCTTTTCACACACTTTAATAAAATTTTTCGTGTGTAGGTGTGTGCAAAGATGCGGTTTTGAGGCCCTCATCCGTCGAGGAAGAGGCTTCGGCCTCTGTCCCAAAACCGGTGAAAGATAATAAGAGGAAAAGAGCCCCCGTCCTTGAAGATCAAAAACCGAAGAAAAGGACGGCTCATAAGTCGAACAAGGATATCATTCCTTTGATCGTAGAATCAGTTCTGCGTCTGAGGGATGAAGAAGAAGAAGAAGAGAACGATGGGTCTACGCTGGCGGCCCAAACGAAGAAGACCACCGACGTTCCACAGGCAACTGGATCGATGGTGGTTCATAAGGCTCCGCCTCGAGCTAAGGATATATCGGAGAAAGATTCGGGCAGAGTTCCCGAGTTGTTGGAGATTGAAGACACATCCCATCGAAGCCAACAAATGGGGGATATGTCTGAAGGGACTCTTCTCGAATCTTTTTTAACCGAAGAGAATGCCCTAGGTGATTCACTTGGGGCAGTAGCAATCGAAGAATCGCCCACCTTCCCTGCTTTTTCTGCAGGGGCAATTCGGGAGGCCCAAGCTTTGGGGGCCCTCGAATTAGATAGGCCTCATGATGGAGAAGATCCTTTTCGTGACCTGTTTATCGGTGTCGAGGACACTACCGGTACAAGTGACGCATCTGATCTTTTTCACGGAGTGCAGCGGGCTTTGAATCAAGTAAGCCTTAAATTATATGGCGTTACCTTTAAGTTTTCTTTTCTTTTCTAACTTTGTTTCTTCTTTCTTTGCAGGCCGCGACAGTTCATCGAGAATCATGTTCTCGGTCCCGAACCGAGCTGTGTCGATATGAGGCCGAGCTTCAACGGGTTATGGAGGAGAGGAACTCCCTAAAACTCCTCTTAGGCCAAAGGGGAAAGAAATAAAAGACCTCCGAGCTGACTTGGCCAAGGCTCACCAAGATCAGATCAATCTGTCCAAGAAGGTAATAATACTTTTAAAAGCCTATGGGCTTGATACCGGAACGATGGCTAATTTTTCGGTCTCACAGCTGTAGCAGAAAATTGAGATGATCGGAAAACTCCGTGAAGAAGTCGATGTGATAAAAGTAGAGTCTTTGAAGTGGAAAGAAGGAATGGACCGATTTTTTGCAGAGAAAGAAACTGCTCGAGCCCAACTGTCATCGGCCGAAAACCAACTTCAAAAAATGAAGGAGAAAGGCTCGGTCCAAGCAAGAAGAATAGAGGAGCTCGAGGCTCGGTTGGGCTCTTAACTTGCCAAGGCCGAATCTGACGCCGAAAAGGCAAAGGCCGATGCGGATGCACTCGTGGCCATCTATCGAGCCGATGCTGAAGCTGCCCAAGTCTAAGAAAGAGAGGTAGCCAAGACCGTCGATACTCGAGCACATTGGGTCACTGAACTTGCTAAGTGTCGATCTCGGAGGGAGACCCTCGAGGAGATCCATGCTCGAGGTTTCGACCTTGCTGAAGAGATTAAAAGGGCCAAAGAACTCAAAGCCGATGCTGAAGCCTTGGTTTCCTATGACGATGATGATGATAATGATGATGATGATGGGAGTAAGAGCGGGTTCGAGAACGGGGGGGAGCCCGATAGAGAAGAGACCGCTCCTGGGGATAATCAAGAAGCTTAGTCCTCAATTTTTATGTTGTAATCACTTATGTAAACAATCTTGTATATAAAAATATCCCTTTTTGCCGACTTGCTTCTGTCCTGTTTCCTATCTTGTGAAGATTTTATTCATGCCTTATGAATATTTTCACAAGGATTTAAACTTGATCAAATTTGGACTTCGTAGCCTTTATAACCGAGTGAGCGCTTACTCAAACTTGAAGTGATGTAGACCTTAGGCTTAGTAGTCGAGTGAATGATTCGAACTCGAAGTAATGTAGCCCGTAGGCATAATGGTCGAGTGAGTGCTTGCTCGAACTCGAAATAAAAGTAGCCCGTAGGCTTAGTAGTCAAGCGAATGATTCGAACTCGAAGTAATGTGGCTCGTAGGCGTAATGATCGAGTGAGTGCTTGCTCGAACTCAAAATGAGAAATTGATATATTTGAGGGCTAATTTCCCCCTAGTATTCAAGGTTGATTATGAAGAAGCCTTGGATACTGTTGAATTGCCCTCAGGTAGCACATGGTTGTTGCCTCGTTAAAACCTCGCTGGGAAAACCCATTTGGGATAAAAGCCGATCTAAGGGGAAAAAGAGTGCAACACGTACTTTAAAACCTGAGGTCTCGACGTCTTTGATCGAACTCCTGCAATGGGTTAGCTTCGAATATGTATTTATGGGCAAAAGGAAAGAGAGAATCATACCTTTAACAATAATATCATTTGAGGAGTGATATGTTCCAGTTGTTCGATAATGGTTTGCCATCCATCATTCCGAGTTTATAAGATCCCTTTCCGACTATATCGAGGACCTGATAGGGTCC